ATTTTATTTATTTTTTTTTTTTTAATAAGCAAATCAACTGTTTAGTGTGGATCCATCCATCAATATTGACAATTTCTTATCACGTCCGTAGGTCACCAATGTGGGGAATTAATTATCGACTATGTCAACTTTCATCTATCAAAAGGTACCTCGTGATGGATTCAAGTTAACATGTCTTATATACTATTGATTTGGTATTTAATATTTGTAGTGGTAGTTACGCCACAGTCTATATAAGACATGCTAACTCGATTCAGTCTTCAGGTACCTTTTGATCGATGAATTTAGACATCGTCGAAGACTCTATTCCTCACATTGTTAACCATCGGACGTGATATGATCACTTCGATCTATTGTCCACATTGAGCAGTTTACTTAACATTTGTGACTGCATCATCGTCCTCCTCGCGCTGTTGCTTCTCAGTCTCATTTACACACATCGGGATCCTGCACACACTCGACTGCCAGCAGCAACACAGGAGGGACCACACACTCAACAGTGATCATAATACAGTTCTCACGACAAATGCTTAAAACTCCGTGAACTAAATGCAGCTCGCACCATAAGCTCTCAAAATCTGGTGACGACAACTTGTGGTATCCGTTCATTGAATTCATCCCTCCCAGATTAAATTCTGGTGGAAGAGTATTGTGGCATAATTACCACTACAATTATTAAACATCAATTCACTAGTATATAGGACATGCACACGACTGAATCTTGGGGTACCTTTTGATCGAAGAAAGTTGACATTCACCACAAGTGCCAGTACGTGAAGATACCGATCATCAAATCAAAAGTTATTCTGAACTATTCGTTTTTCTTTCGCATTGTACAGTTGTATATTTTTGTTAGAATATAATATCATTTACTTGTTAGATTCTTGTCCTCATCATCGCTTCCTTGAGTTCTCTTTCAATGGGAGATCATGTTCATGGTCATGGATTTCATGGACATTTTCATCCCCATGGATATGAGGTCAGTATAGACCACCATCCCCACCATCATCACGGACATCATGACGGACAAGGAACTAGCCACCGTTATTTCCATATGGATCATGGTCATCACCACCACCATTAGCTTTTAGAATATGGTCAGTAAGTTTATTGCATATTATTTAATGTCACATTTCTTAATCATATTTAGATTTTATTTTCAATCAACCATTGTTAACTCAAAATATTATGTTGAGATTAACTGCCAGAGCACATTTGAAGACGTTTCTTATAAAGTGCCTTTTACTTATCTTCTGAGATTCCTCCGGCAATCCAATAGGTTCTCTTACTTTTTATCTTGACTCTCTCGTCATTCTCTGTTTGATGAAGTTTTAATTTTTTCACAATAATTACAAAATTCATGCATTTTTTCACAATTTTTAACAAAAATTTGAGCCGCTATGGCTCAAGGAATAGAGTGTTCGCCTCCCATTGAGGTGAACAGGATTCGAATCCCACCGGTGGCTTGTCGATACGAATCCGCATCCGGCTTGCATCGAACACAGTGCTGACGTGAAATATCCTCAGTGGTAGACGGATCATGGGTTAAGAGTCCCTTTGCTGTAAGGCTAACCGTATGAGGTATTCGTGGTTTTCCTCTCCATGTAACGCAAATTCGGGCTAGTTCCACCAGAAAGTCCTCCACGAAGGAAATTTCTCCCAATACTTGATCCAAGAGTTCCCTTGTCTTCTGGATTGGGCTCAAAATTACAAGGCTACGGATTTGAACATTAGTAGTCGTAAACCCAAATATTGAGTCGGCTGTTTAACGACGGTTACATAACAAAAACCTTAATTGCTTTGCTGAACTGGCGACCATTTTATACACGAGTTATTTCTTCATATTTTTCAAATAAATATTTAACTTGGAACGATAGTTTGTCCAAAATTCCGGATCCGATGTTTTCCAAGTTGATTGAATCACCAGATTGAAAATTTGGCTTGAAATATTTGTACCTGTTATGAACTTGTTCTAATGATTCATTAGCATCACGTGCATTTATTTTTGCATTATAATTCTCTGATAGAATTTTCTGCTGCTTCAGTGCTCTAAGATTTTCGATTTGGGTGTTAAAATACAATTTTACACTTCTTTATAACTAATGAGTGGTTTTATCTTTGCGAATAGTTCGTTAACAATGGTGCATTGTAATACCATATTTTCCATGTTTTAAATCGGAAGAAAACAATAGAAGCAATGAACGGTCTAGTTATTCTTAAATGTAATGATACATTTTATCAAAGAAATATCCATAAAAAACTAGAAATAATAAGTAAAGTCTTAAAAATTAAATTCTTAACAAAGTAAATTCTTAATAATTAATTCTTCAAAAAAAATTGTAGCGAAAGTGAAACTACCATGCATATAGTGATGTGTTATGTTGTAGCTTGATTTACGTGACAATGTTACTTTTCTTTCAGGTAACTTCCGTTGCAATGATGTTCAAAGTCAAGATGAAACAAAGGCTTTTAGTTTACTGTTGTTAAAACCTTAATATGCATTTAAGAACCTTGAAATGCTTTGCAATATCTGTGATAGTAACGAAAATGTGTTAAAAATAAGCACAAAAAAAAAAAAAAAAAAAAAAAATANAAAAAAAAAAAAAAAAAAAAAAAAAAAAAAAAAAAAAAAAAAAAAAGGCTGTGCTGTGCATTACATTACATTATATCTTCCTATAAAAATTAAAACTATAATTTTTTTCTTTTTTAGCATATGTAGTTGAGAATTTCTCATTTAGTGCTGCTTAATTAAATTTTTTTTTTAAATTTTTCAACTCAACCCTCATTGTTCATAATAAATACTTTTTTGCAGATATTTATGTTTTCTTATTTCTGGGTAAAACAAACGTGTTATGCATATCGATTAAAAACATTTCAGAAATATAAAATAGATTTAAAGCACAATGATATGATTTTTGTGTAAAAAAACGCATGAACATATAAATTAAGCAATATTAAACATTAACATGTAATATTAAATTAATATTTATAACTTAAACAAGATTTTCAATCTGAAATAAATGCTTTAGAATGAAAATTGTTAACTCCATATTGATAACATTTAACATGCAAATAGTTGAGTTGATAACATGTAAAATAACTTGAATAAAAAGATATGGAGCATACTTCCACGTTTTAACATTTATGGTTTGGATCTTAAATGAAATGCATTGAAATATGCATTTTAAGTTAAATGAATTGATAAGAAACACGTTTTTTGGACCATGTCTTAGCATTTACAATTTTGATTAAATTTTTAACCAAAAAGAAATGCTTCAGAATGTGTGAAATTTATAATAAGATAAGGTTGTGAGATAAAAATGAGATAAGGCTCTAAGATAATAATAAGATAAGGTTATAAGATAGTAATAAGATAATGATAAGGGTGAATAAGTATCCCTGTTCGTTTCCAAGTCTCAACATCATATATAAAAAAATTACTGAAATGCACCAGAACATGTAAATTAAGTTGACTGAGATAATGTGAAGCACTTTAATTGGACTCTGTCTTACCATTTGTCACTGTTCAGAAGGTCCAGGATAATACCAGCACTATTTAATAACATATTTCATTCAGCAAAACAGCATCAACAATGGTATACAATTAACAAGCAGACAAACATACCATCTTACATCCAGATCTCGTACTTAAAGCCAATTAATCTAGAAATATTTGGGGGAGGTTATCAAATGGATGCGCGCATACGCTGACATTAAAGTTTCAGTTCGTATTTCTAAAAGTTTCACTTCGGATCTTAACTTACCACACCATTTATGGTACTGATAAGAATTTTATGTTAAATGAGATGCGTTAGAACATGTAAATTAAATTGAATGAGTTGATATGGAGCTCATTTATTGGATCGTGTCTATAAGGCTGGCAGCTAGGAAATTTTTCTTGGTGCCAGTCGATCTAGCACATGCTATCTCGCACATGTTTTTGACCACAAACAAATTGCGGTTTTCTACATTCAAATTGCCATCTTTCAGGGGACTTGTGGCGATTTGAATGGATTTGATGGCGATTTGACTACGAGTCACAATGGACTTGTGACTCGTAGAAAGCTAGTCATCGCAATTTGTTTGTGGTCAAAAAAGCTAAGTTGCGTGGCACCAAGAAAAAGTTTATAGTGGGCAGCCACATTTAGGAATTTAGATTTTTAAGATAAATGAAGTGTACTGTAATATGCAAATTAAGTTGAATGTTAAGTTTAAGTTTACATACATATACTCATTCTTTTTCACTCCGAATTGGAGCACAGGGCACCTATCATAGTTTTCCATTCTACTCTATTTGTGGCCATACATTTTGCCTCTCTCTATGTCATTCCTACTATTTTCAATTTGTTTACAATAGTCACACGGTGTAGTAGTTTTAGGTCTACCTCTTTTTCTATTGCCCTCAGGTTTCCAATCAAAAATTTGTTTTCCTTTAAATTTTTCAGGTTTACGTACAACACGACCAATCCATTTCCATTCTGCTTTGCTTTTCGAAGGATTTCTGCATTACAAATTTTATGGAACTATTTGATGCGTAAAATTCTTCTTAAAGAGTTGTTAATAGATACTTGAAGTTTTTCATGATTGTTTGCAGTGTCCTATCTCAGATTCATATAGTAGGACATATTTAACACTAGTATTGAAAATTTCATTTTTTGTTGAATTTTATTTTAGTTGAATGAATGGCATATCACTGATCGTAAAATTTGAACGAAACCTTTACTTTTAGAAACTTATATTTGATTTGATTGAAATTATCAATTATGTCTTTTTTTGGGAGGGGATAGAGGCAGAATATAAACAAAGTACATATATATTTCAAATAAATAAACTGTGACGCATTTTTTAAAAAAAGTAGTGAAACCATTTGAAAAAAATATCTTTAAGGCTCGCTAAACTCATAGTTTGAGTGAAGTAAAACGTGCTAAAAACAGATATGCAGGCTAAAATTATATTTCACCGTCAGTGGTAATGCTAAATCATAAACTATACTTAAGGATGATCCACTCTGGCATCCCAACGCGTTTATTGAAGTTTCTCCTGGCCTTTCTGCCTGCAGCGCCCTCTATAAAAATTTAACAGAAACGATTAGTTGATTCAGTATATGTGAATAGTTGACCCTCTACGATATAATATGTAGTGTTATTGTTTGTGAGTGTTTATGGTATTTTATGCAGTGTTATTTTTTGTGATTTATTGCTTTAAAGTTGAGATTTTATTATTTTTTAATTTTAATTATCTCAATCAAAAGTATTTAATTGAGATTAGATTGGGGAATTAATGTTAGCTTTTTGGAAATAATTTCATATTGTACATTTATGCAGAAGCATAAATTTTCTTAATTAACTCCATATCTTTTATTTTACATTTTAGTTCTACATTACGTAAGAAGTACTTCTTTTAGATTTTTATTTACTCCTGTCCAGTTCTATTCTTTCATAGAATAAATTTTATTATAAACAAAGAAAAGAAAAAAAATCTACTTTGATAACGCATTTTTATATTTATTCTTCCAATAGTCTAAAAGGATTAATAGTGCATTTCATCCATGTTAGTAAGTACTAAATTCAACATTAAAATAAATATAAGAACAAGAAAGTGAAAAGAAATTAAAATATATAATTTACTTTGCAGAATTCATGCCTTGCCACACTCTTAATAAATCCTCTGGAATACATGATTCCACAAGCGGAAACAACATTGCTGCGTATTTCTCTTTTGTTACGCCAATAGACTCCAGTGAACGCAGATATGACTCCAATTTATCGTAAAGTTGCATTATGTTCATCTTTGCTTTTGTGTTTATTACATTTTTCACCACTAAATTTAATAATTTTCTTACGTAATATTCGACGAGGAGTTCTTCCCGCCCAAATCTCGTTTTTAAACTTTCTACCTCTTTGGCATAATTATCAGCAGACGGCGGATAACTGTCCACAATTTCCCTTGCTTCCGACAACCATGCATTGAATGAGATATTAGAATTTGTCCTCATCACTCATACCTTCATCATCATGGATTCGACTAAATTGGCTTCAAAAACTTAACCAATCCTCGACTTCCCCACTAAATTTAATTAATTCTATTTTGGGAAGCTTTAATTTTGTGTTTTCAGCCGCCACAGACAAAGCGGTTTCGGGAAATGTGAGAAATTATTCCAAATGTATTTTAACTTTAAGCATCAGTTTTTTCCTTGTACTCTTCAATTTTATCGTATTCTTCAGATAAGCTTTCTGATTTGGCGTCAACTAATAATTTATATATTTCTTCATCTAATAATGCCAAATCGTTTGCAATACGTTCAAAAGAGGAAAATTTAATTTCAATATCTTCACGAGTACTTTTATTTTCCTTACACATCGCCAATAACTGATTATAACGTTTTGTAAATGTTCCACGAACAGGAGTTCGTTTGGCGATAAGAGAATCCATAATTGCAGTCGCCAATTAATATTGCAAATGAAAACTAACCTATAAAATCCGGGTCACCACAATGTTTCGTGCTTCCGATAAATCTACCCGATCTATCCAGCGATGAAATAACTTAAATTTACGAGGAATACCTGCGTACACATATTTACAAAAGCAACCATTTTATTTTCGTAGAACACATCTAGCACAACATTCTTTCTATTGCCACTCACACTTTTCATATATACACAGGTTAATATCACGTTATTAATATTTACACTTTAAATGAATGACGTCATTTTATGAGAGTGACGTAACAGGGATGCCCACACATGTGACCTATGACGTCAGCGCCAGAGTGAATATTATAAATATGAGATAATAATCGAATACTAATTTTTTGAATGGTGTGACATTTTATTAAGGTGAGTAAAATATTGATGACAATGCGGAAATTAAATTAACAAGGAATATATCGTGACATAGTTTTGGCAATGCAAATTTGTACTCATGGTTGTTAATGTTGCGTGGGCGACAACTGGAAAAAGCAATCGCCAATATATGGTCTTTATAACCGATAAAGATGAGAGTTAGGCGACAACAGCGGATAGATGTCCCAAACGTACATAAATTATATGTTAGAGTACTCACATTAAAGTACTTACATTTAGGACTTAGATCAGTTAAGTCTCAACTCTATGGTTTCAGTATTAAGAGAAGAAAAATTTTTAACAGCAAAAATCTTCCGTCAAGGCTTAAAAAAGTTAAATAAAATTGGTAGGCAAGCCGAAGTCCATTTTAATCAGCAATTAAGGGGGGTCAGGACCCTTAAAACTCTCAAAAAATCGATTTTTCAAGAATCATTTTTTTTTATTCCTTGCATTATTCTGCGCATTTTCATATCTTACATTTCGAAATCTTTCAATTGGTTCAAAAGTTATAAGGGTTAGAAGACAAGTCACTCACCAACAATTGCTTTAGTGGGCGTGGTCGCGAATTGCTTCATTTCGGGCTTATCTTATAGTTTCTAATAATAATCTGAGATTTAAAGTGTCTACAACTCAACTCTGCTCCAACCCTTTGCAGATTTTATTTGTTTATATTCGAATTGCATGCGTTTTTTAATCTTAGATTAATATTTGTACATTCGTCTATTAGCTTTCATTTTAGTCAAAAATCTAGTTTCGGTTTGATTTATTTATTATAAATAATCATGAATAATCCTCGTAGATCTGGTCAGAGACCAAAAAAGAGAAGATTTCGTGGAAATCAATTTCGGCAAAGTGTAAATGTGGGCAGTTGCAATGTTTTTATTGAAAAAGAGGATTTTAAAAGTGCTTCTAAGAAAAAGCTTTCGATGTCATGTTCCAGTTTCAAGGATATCGAAACTGAAACTAAAGAGACTTTTGATGGTTATCGCCTTATTGATGTTGCTTCCTTGATAAGTTTTTTCAATAATGTAGCTGCTTGTGGAATTTGTCATGCTTCCTTGAAAATGACTGAGAAATCCCAGTGTGGATTGTTGTCTTCTTTTGAAATAACATGTCAAGCATGTCAGAAAAGGGATGTTTTTAAAAGCTGCAAACTGATAGGAGTGAATAAGAACATTCCAGAAGTAAACAGAAGATCTGTTTTTGCAATGCGGTGCATTGGTGGTGGACTTTCAAGTCTGCAGACATTTTGTTCTGTGATGTGCTTGCCCAAGCCCATAACTCAGAAATCTTATGATAAAATTAATTCTAAAATATTGGAAGTATCAAAAGAAGTTGCTTTGTCATCCATGGAACAGGCAGTTAACGAGGAAAAGTGTCTATCAGATAATCCAAACAGTCTAACCGTCAGTGGAGACGGCACCTGGAAAACCAGAGGTCATACGTCTTTAATAGGCGTATGTACCCTGGTAGGCGGCGAGACAGGAAAAGCTGTTGACATAGAAGTAATGTCGACATTCTGCAAAGGTTGTGCTTCGTACAAGGGTCCAAAGTTTGGCTTGAGATATCATAAGTGGCTATCTTCTCATAAAACAGTGTGCCAGAAAAATCATGCCGGCTCTTCTGGAAAAATGGAGGTTGACGGCATGAAGAGGATTTTCCAAAGATCTGAAGAAAAATATGACGTCAAGTATGAAACATACATTGGCGATGGTGATTGTAAAACTTTCCAGGCTATTTGTGAGGCAAAGCCATATGGAAAAGATGTTTCGATAACCAAAGTGGAGTGTGTGGGACACATACAGAAGAGAATGGGCACTCGTTTGCGAAAACTCAAAACTTCATATGGCAAAAAAAGGCTTTCAGATGGTAAGACGATAGGTGGTCGGGGAAGACTGACAGACGTAACAATAAATAGAATTACAAGTTATTATGGCAATGCAATTCGCCAAAACAGCAATAACTCAGTCAACATGCGAACAGCGATTTGGGCCATATGGGCTCATACTTGCAGCACGGATAAAGAGCCGATGCACTGGTTTTGTCCGAAAGGCGAAAATAGTTGGTGCAGCTATAATAAAGCTGTGCATAACAACAAAGTGCATGAGTATAAGCACCCAATGCTGGTTGCTAAAGTTGTTATGGAGGCAATAAAGCCAATATTTAAGGATCTGTCTCATCCGTCTCTTTTGAAAAGATGTTTGGGGGGTAAGACCCAAAACCCAAATGAGTCGTTGAACTCACTCATATGGAAGTTTTGCCCTAAATTTGCTAGTGCTGGCAAAAATGTTGCCGAAATAGCTGCATGTATGGGTGTTTGTGTTTTTAACGATGGAAAAAAGTCTTTGATGTCTATTATGAAACTGTTGGAGCTACAAATCAACAAAAAAGCAAAGCAAAACTTTCATGCTCAAGATAAACTCCGCGTAACAAAAGCTGAAAAGCGAGCTAGTGAACAGTCTATTGTAGCTCGTAGAGTGAAACGACAAAAAAAGATTTGTGAAAATGAGAGAATGAAAAAAAGTGAAGGGGGGGATATGTATATTTCTGGTGGCTTTTAATTTTTAAATGTTTTTTTTTATATTGATTTTATTATAAAATAATAAAATGTAAGAAATTTATTCCTTTATATCTATGTCTTTGAGGTTACTTAGGATTTCTAGATAAACATAAAAATGGATATTGTTATAATAATCAAAATTTTAACTTTGTGGTCATTTTTATAAACAATTTTTTAAAAGTTACTAATTTGAAAATCTTTTGTTTGCTTTTGAAAATTTATTTTAAAACATCATCTTTTAGATTTTTATAAATCTCAAAAATCTATCATTTAGGTTGGTTTGGTTTTTGTATCAATCATTTCTAATGTTTGAAAAGTTGATTACTATTTGACTCGATGCTCGTTATGTGACAAGTCGTTGTGAAATGTTACTTTATTTTGTTTATAAGTCAAATTTAGTTAATGTATTACTGTTTAAGTTGTATGTAGGTATTGTAAAATGATTTATTTTATTTATTTAGGCATTTTTAGAAAAATATATTGAGTGGTATTCGAAAAAAACAAATTTTTAACTTTAAAGTCATTTTTCTCAAAATGTGATATGTTGAACTTGTGCGCACTGCGTACAAAGAACTAATTGATAGAATTGTACGAAACTTTAGGAAAAGTTTTATGATATGGTTTGCTACAACTGGTACCTACTATAAAAACCATTACTCTCTTAAAATTTTTTTAAATAATTGTGTAATGTGCCAAAAATATAGAAATTTGAAAAACTTAAACTTTTTTAATTTTTAGAAAATTAAAATATATGTATATCAAAATAATATTAGGTAACACAGGTTTAGGGTAATTATAACTTTAATTTAAAATTAGTTTGACATTATTTTGATGATATTTGACTCGTACGCTTTGCGCGCAATGAAACTCACTTTTTCGAAAATAAAAAAATTTCACTATATTAAAAAAAGTCTGTATTTTTTTTATGAATGATTTTTTTTGAATTTAGCTATTTAATTATATTGATAATAGTGCTAGTAAATGATAAAAAAAATTTCATAGCTTTAGGATAAATTCAAAGATAGTTACAGTGTGTCGAAAATATGGTATTTCATTGTATCGTTTAAGGCGTTAAAGGGTCCTGACCCCCCTTAAACGTGTCAAATAAATGTAAAGACTGATTTTTACTTTTTAACGAAAATACTCAGTTTTTTGGTTATACTGTCTTTTAGTTCAAACATTCCATTTGTTTATATTATCGAGTAAATAAAAATTTTAAAACATTTAGTAAAACTAATATTTTTTAAAGATGTTTTCAAAACAAAAAGAAAGAAAGAAAACGAGTTCTCAACAGTTTTTTTTTATTTTTACATTTTATATAATCAATATTAAATATACAGCAACAGTATTTAAAAGTCACGTTATCTGCAACAAAACATATAAACACATCTAAATTTAAATTTTATACTTTGGTAAGGCACTTTGTGATTAAACAACAGGAGATTCCTTGCGATGCAGAGAAAAAAAAAACTACTCTTATCTACAATACTGACTTGAATAGGCTAAGCTAAAAGCACATGAAATACAGCATAATTGAGAAAAAAGTACAATAAAGAGAGATTTAAACTCGAACAAATCTAATTAAAACAAGAATTATAAAAATATGTATGAAGAGCCACACTTTTTTCAAAGCTGACATTTGTACATCAAACTGTTTCTTATTATTTTCTTCAGATAGCTACTTCGCTAGTTTTCAGAATTTCAATTAAATAACAGCTTAATGCACATAAACATGTTGTTGTCTTACACAAAAATTGTAGGTTTTTTCGTCAACAATGCTTTCCGAAATAATTTTAAAATGTGGCTTATCATTAACTCCTCCTCATACATGTTGAAAGTAAATGATTTGAATAAAACTTTCAGTGAAAGAAACATCCTTCCATTTCAAACCATTATTTTGCGCAGTTAGTAAATATTTGAGGAGAATTTATAATTGTATGTTAGACTCTATTTATATTTTTAGTATCTAATATAGCTTAGAGGAAATACATGGTTTAATAGAAATATTAAATACAAAACGTAAAAGAAAATGGTTTTGTTGAGTTTGGTCTGCATCCAACATTTTAATAATCAGACAGATTTATACGGATATTTAAAAAATTTTATTTCTGCATTACTTTATGTTAGTTTATGTTCACATTAAGCTTCAAGATTATATACGCACTAGATCCAATATTTTAATAACACGCATTTAAAAAATATTAATACTTTTAAAATTTTGATTTTCGCATTATTTTATATTAAATTTTATACTTAATAATAAGATGCTGTATACATTTTAATAATAAGACAATAGAAAAAAAAACAGATACTTTTAAAATTTTGATTTTTGCATTATTTTATATTATATTTTACATTTTATAATAAGATGCAGGCTATATTTTAATAAGAAGCACAATAGAAAAATATGGATACTTTGAACATTTTGATTTTCTTATTATTTTATATTAAATTTCACATTTAATAATAAGAAGCTGGGTACATTTTAATAATAAGACATTCTAAAAAAAACGGATACTTTTACAATTTTGATTTTTGCATTTTTTTTATAAAAAAAATTTCATTTAATAATAAGATGCAGGCTACATTTTAATAAGATCAATGAAAAATATGGATACTCTAAACATTTTGATTTTTGCATTATTTTATAATAAATTTTTCATTTATAATAAGATGCTGGATATATTTTAATAATAAGACATTCTAAAAAATATAGATACTTTTAATATTTTGATTTTTGCATTATTTTGTATTAGAAGAAATTCCAATTACTCGGTTAATTGGTGCTCTTAGAACTAACGCCAGAATTTTCATGTGGCTATGGTGTACGTCCTATACATTCAAATACAATATTTGTTTCTATTACAGCTATTAATTTGTTTCTAACTTTAACTTTGGATAAAAATATCACATGAATAATTTATTTCCATGTTAACACTTTTATTTTAAAAATCATATGGAGGATACAAATGTTTGCTTAACCAAAAAAAAAAAAAAAAATGATAATGAAATCATGTTACTACAACCATTTACTAAATTATGACTTATCCTCGAATGATGACGCAAGAGTTAAAATCAACTCAATACAGCTTTTTCAAACATTATTATTATTGTTAATCAGTTATCTGTTTCATTTTTAATTAATTTCATTAAAATTAAATTTTCAGTTTTTTCTTATAATTTTATGTTAAAAATTAAATATTTTTAAAAGTAAAACAAAACAAACATGCATTAAAAAATATTTTTTCAATGCCTTAAATTTTTAATGAAATATAATTCAGCAACAAATTAAAGAGGAGACTGTTGTATTTTTCTTCTATAAGACGCCAAAAATAATAACAAATAATTAAAAGCCCACTCAATTAAAAATAGCTTTTTTATATTACATAAAAATTAAGTTGCTTTTTGACTATTTTAGTAAAAATTGTGGGCATGCGTTGTTTCCAAACTATTTAACCGAATTTAAATGCCGACTAGAATTTCTGAAAGTAGAATTAACTGATTTGACAAATAACGACAGAAAAACATTTCTTTAAAAAAATTAATAAAAAAAAGATGAAAAAAAAGTTTATTCATCATGAAGTTGATTCTAGAAATAAAATATTACATTGATATATGACCTATTACAAGTTAAACATACCTTAAATACGAAAGTCTAACATTATTTGATAACAGTTTATACGATAAAATAATTTAATTATTTTTCTAAAGATAAAAGCAAAGAATGAAAAGAAACCAAATGTTAGCACCATTTATATAAACATTTGTAATTGTAAAATTTATTTTTCTAACAGAATTTCGACTTGACTACGACTGTAAATTTTACGTAAATTATTAAAGCATATTTAAAACAGCTTATTAAAACGAGTGAATTTAAAAACAAACGTTGTTTCAATAATCAAATTTCATATCTATGCATACAAACATAGGTAAGGGTTTATTCCATATGCCTTACTGGAAAAGTTTCGGATAACTTTCGAAAGAGATCTTCGCACAAAAACCACCAGATACGAATAAATTTTATATAGAGATGTCTAATTTATCAGGCTGAACTAGATCAATGTCATTCAGCAATCCATCAATTGTTTTCGTGATCCAGTTGCTGATGGAAACTTCTTTGGTGGAAACCAGAAAGAATGGACTTCACACTGAACGAGATCAATGTTCTTCAGTAATCCATCAATTGTTTTCGTGTTCCAGTTGCTGATGAAAACTTCTTTGGTAGAAACCAGAGACAATGGGCTTCATCTGTTGCTATTGGCAACCAATTGATTAATTGATGAATGACTGAAGATAAGATACCTCCAAGTGAAGTCAGTTTGGGCATCTCTATGGCAAGAGGTGAAAAAAGTAAAACGTACATGCTTCAGAGAAAATATAGAGGTATAGAGAAAATAACAAAAACAAATAAACACGAAATTCTCTCATCAAAAACACATCTCCCTACCTCCAATTAATCATACATATTACTCCTCCATAAAAAATAAAATTAAAATACTTTTAATTTAAGAAGGAAAAAAAATGAAAGATTTGGTTGATCGATCACAATTTTCTGGCGATTTTTGGTCTTTATTCTATAAAGCTCATTCTGTTCTTGGGTCTATATCGCCTCTATTTAAGGGACAGAGCTCGAAGTCCAAGACAGGTGCTGAAAATGTAGAGTATGGAATTTACAATACCCAGAGCCTATAAGAAATAAGAAAAAAAATTAGGTTAGATTATAAAATAAAAACAAACGATTTTTTGTGCCATAAATTCGAGGTGTAACTTTTCTTCAACCTTAATGAAGTGCTAAATTTAAAAACTTATTTGTTTATGAGAGTTCATTATTCTAACAACAAAAAGTATCTTTGTCCGCAGGTAGTACACGAATTATATCTAGCTCTTTGACCAGAAGCAGAAAGTTTCTAAAACTGTGACGTACGTCACAGAACAAACGAAGTCTTGCAGAACAATTTGTATCTTGAATAAGTTACAGCGTTTTCCTGGGAAACCCCGTCTACCTGCCTCCGGTAATCCTGCGATCACCATTTTTATCAAGAGAGCTTCTAAAGCAAGCCGTAAAAGAATTAAACTCAGTGATTTCCAATTTCATAAAGTTTATGACTTTTATATTTTCCATTCCCATTCCAGAAGCGATTTGTGAATCGTGGGGATCCACGATTGACAGAATTTTTTCTAAAAGACCAAATGCTTTCGATGGAGATGAAGTTGTTGGAACAACAGACCAGCGAATGTTTGTGTTTGCAAATGGTGCACCATCTGGGAACTTGTCACTTCGAAAGATATTTAAGGCAGCCCTTATTTTAATGTTCGGACCTTCGAATCTGAGGCATTTTATTAATAATTCCTCATCATCATCAGCAAAATTCTGTACTTCAAAAGGGATTGAAAAAGTAACAAATAAAGAATGTTTGCCTTGGTTTAAAAAATAATGTAGTGTATCTGTGTATGATCTTGTATTTTAATGAATGAAAATATAGTATTTTAATGTAAAGTTGACTTTTTTTTTGCTGTGAAATGCTTGCAGAACATTTGTATAAATCCATAAGTCCTGTTGCAGAATATTTGAAAATATTCTGTTTATGGGGCTCTTTGAAACTAGAGCTGAATTTAGCCAAAAATACTTACCCAGAGCTATTATAAAGAGAAATGCAGATTTAGAAGAATTAGGCAAATATATTAACCTAACAATAAAGAGTATCTTTGTTAAAGTAATGCATGTTCTAGTTCTTTAAAAGTAATGCATGTAGTAATGAACTAGATTACATGCATTGTAAAGTAATGCATGTTATCTAGTTCTTTAAAAGTAAAACTAAGTTTTGCCGTACGCTTACCTCAAGCTAATTACATATAGAAATACAGATTTAGAAGAATTAAACAAGTATATTATCCTAACAAGAAAAAGTATATTTTGTGCTTAAGTTATCTATGAATTAGATCTTACTTTTTTTAAAAACTAGATCAGAGTTTTGCCATTAACGCTTACCTAGAACATGGGGAAATAGAGATTTAGAAGGCTTAAACAAATATATTATTCTAACAACAATGTATTTATAAGCAGTAATAACATTACTTACAAACAAACTTTATCTTAGAGCTAAAGTGTTAATAGATCTAGCTTTTTAAAAGTAGAACTGAGTTTTTACGTAAACGCTTACAAGGAAATATGGATTTCGTAGAATTAAACAAATATATTATCCTAACAACAAAGAGTATCTTTGTGCTAAAGTTATATAAGAATTTGATCTTGTTTTTGTTTTTTTTAAACCAGTTGAGTTTTGCCTTAAATATTTACCCAGAGCTAATATTAAAGGAAAATACAGCTTCAGAAAAATTAAGAAAATACATTAGCCCAATAAAAAAATTTTCTTGGTGCTAAAGCTATCAAGTACTAGAACAACGACGAATAAGATTATAAATTATGAAAGAAACTGAGATTAATAACCGTTTTGTATCATAAAAGCATCATTATCAGTGCCACAACACAAAGTGAAGAGTTGATAGTGGTTAATTGATATTGATTGAATTGCTAATGAAAAATTATAATGAACTGACAATGATGATGATAAATTTCTGTTATTTTTTTTTCTTCATTCTGCGCCTATGGATACTGATGAGCACATTTATTAAAGTTGTCTCCGTTAACTAAAGATTATTATGCATTGCTGTTTTATTTTTTAAAAAAATATATTATGCTTCAAATACTTAAACTGTCAACAATTTCTTTTCTTGAACAATTATTGATAATTGGCTCATTTGTATGATTTCATTAATAGGCAATCAGTTATGAAAAAGTTAAATTTGAAGCTGTTAGTTTGAGGCCGGACAGGTATTTCGTACAAGATCAGCAGAGCATCTTAACTTTGTAGAGACTTCTCGGGTTTATGCAATATTTAATTTCCTTCTTATAAAAACATCGCTCGACTAGGAGCCACATATTGGCTAAGTTATTTCATAACCATCTACAGCATATAGACGGAAACGGAAAAAAAATAATAAGGATGATAAAATAGTTTCTTACCCCGGCTGTGATGTAGTATTTTTCATAACGCCTTTGGTATCCAAGAATCACAACTGAAAGTCCCGATGACAAATACAATGATGCTGAGATCAAATGATAAATCACAAACTGAAAAAAACAAACAACTATGATTAAAAATGACAAATATAATTTTAAATTAATTATAACTTTGCTACTTCAAACGCATATATCATTCAGACGCATATATCATTCAGACAGTCAGATGGTCAGAAAATCAAAATTGTTGGATAATTTGAGGCAGTTATCAAGTACGCAAACATTAAACTATAATTAAAATTATTAAAAATGAATCTTTCATGAAATGAATTAGTACGTTAATCTTTCCTTATATTGAGTTTGACAAAGGATAAAGGTATTTTCTGAAATAACATAAGTGTGTGGTGCGTTTGGTTTTTCCCGTTGCTAAGTTGGTTCGATATGGTTTGTGCGACTGCTCTCTTGCTCAGCATCGATACTCACAAATAAGCCATTATGGGTTGTTTAACACTATTTAAAAATAAATGCATCACATGTGGTTTGAGTTCAGTAAAGATACTCAGAAATAAGACATTGTGGTTTGTTTAATACCATTTAAAAATAAATGCATCGCATGAGATTTGAGCGATTGCTCTCTTGCTCAGCATAGATACTCACAAATAAGTACATTGCGGTTTGTTTAACACAATCTAAAAATAAATGAATCGCATGTGGTTTCAGCGATTGCTCTTTTGCACAGCATAGATACTCACAAATAAGACATTGTGGTTGGTTTATTCCTATTTAAAAATAAATGCAACGCATCACGTGATTTATTAATCGTATTATCGAGATTTATAATCAATCAATTTACGAGTTTCACTTCGCGATTTACAATGGCGATATTTAAGAATCAGGTATCGCGAATCGTTTCTCAGAGATTTATTAATCGTGATTCAAAATTCTAGTAGTGATTCAAGTATTATTGCCAAACACAGAGAATCGGAATTTTTAGGTTTAAACGATCCAATAAAGCCATTGCAAATTATCTCCTCACAATGTAATCTAATGTAAATCTAATGTAAATCAAGAGTTGTAATATCGGATAAGCTTGGTCAGATTGCAACGTCTATTGAAAACTTTCACTTCGTTATTTATAGTCAATAAAATTTTTAATTTTAAAATGTTGAAAACATAATCTTTCTAAAGTTAATTCCTTTTTTTACTCAGGATGATTCATGAAATTAATTTTAAAATCTTTTTTTTCTCTTAAAGTTTTTAATCTTTTTTTTCTTTCTTAAGATAATTTAAAAGTTTTTGAAATTTTGAATTAAAACTTTGAACATTTTTATTGAAGTGGTAGAAAGTATTATGTGACATTTTGACGGGCTAAATTGGTTTTAAGAGTTAAGTTATTGTGGTTAGTTGTATTAACATGTTACGTGCACTGACCATAACATCCAACGTGTTATGGTAAACTGAATTTTGTTTTATTCCAAATTATTAAATGGCACAGGTTTCAATGAAAAAAGTAGTTTCGTAACCAACGCTTTTACGAAAGCTGATGCTTCTAAATTCTCAAAAATGCCGATGCTTTTAAATCCCTATTATTTTGATCGACAAAGCTCTTCAATATAAAAAACCAAATTTTCAAAATATAAATTATGCTGCACACATAATAAATTTTTTCTAATTTTCAATTTACAAATAACTTGGCAACGATGTCTACAAACTTAATTGGAATCATAAATTTTCCATTTTTGCATTAAAGTAATTATTTCTTTCTTTAAAAAAACGAACAATTCTGTTTTTAATACAGATTGAAATTTGTTCGCAAAAATTTCATAAAAATTCTTTTTTCATTTTAATTATATAAGACTCATTTCTGAGAACGTAAAAACGTATCACCAATATTTAAAGAAAAGTATTACTTAATTCATCGCATATTTTTCGAAATTAAGAAATTAATTCAGAAATTGAGAGTGTAATTAAAGATAAAGACAGATTAGATAAAGATTAAAGATAAAGAAGAAATTAAGAAATTAATTAAGAAATTGAGAATGTAATTAAAGATAAAGACAGATTAGATAAAGATTAAAGATAGAGAAGAAATTAAAAAATTAATTAAGAAATTAAGAGAATTTGCAGACTTGGTCGATTATCTCTTGAACTACTGGACCAATTTTAATGTAATTTGATATGTGCATACATTGATACAATACAAAACAAATAACGATTCAACAATTGTAATACATATGCGTGATCGTACGTAACACTCGTTGGAGTCGGAAGGTATGAAATTATCACAGGCCAATTCAGGCCAATTGCCACAGGAAACGATAAACTGCCTTGTTTCAAGTATGAAATCACGCTGCAAGGCCTGTATACGAGGGTTGCTATTTATATTTCTGGCCTTGGCAACAGTAAGTGTTGCTAGGCGACCGCAGACGATTTTAATCGAAAGTTTGATATTTTTAAACATAAATTCAGCAGACGATTTACCATTATAGCTTCATTTGTGTTGTTGACAGTAAATTGAAAAGTTCTTCTCTTTCAAAAAATGGAATTGAATCGTGAACATTTTCGTGCCATTATTTTTCATAACTTTCGACGTGGATTGTCAAGACAAGAGTGCTTCGATGAACTTAATTCTTTATTCAGCGATAAAGCGCCATCCTACAGCACTGTAAAAAATTGGTATAACGAATTTAATCGTGGTCGATGTTCGATCCAGGACGAATCCCGTGCAGGTCGTCCAAAATCCGTTGTTGTGCCAGAAAAGATCGATGCTGTGCGTGAACTGATAAAGCAAGATCGTCATGTGACATACCGTGAGATAGAGGCGTCTTTGGACATTAGTATGACTAGCATCAATAAAATATTGCATGAACATTTGAGCGTAAAAAAAATTTGTTCGCGTTGGATCCCGCATAATCTGACAAACGCTCAAAAAAAGGCTCGTGTCGATTGGTGCAAGGAAATGTTGGAAAAATACGTTCAAGGTACATCAAAGGCTGTGTATAACATCTACACAGGTGACGAATCATGGATCTATGCATATGAGCCGGAAACAAAACAGCAATCAACTGTATGGGTCTTCCAAGACGAGGCAAAACCAACAAAAGTTGTTCGAGGAAGAAGCACATGGAAACAAATGATTGCCTGTTTCTTCGGCATCAACGGTCATGTGGCAACAGTGGCGTTAGAGCAATGCAGGACGGTCAATTTTGAATGGTACACGACCATTTGTTTGCCAGAAGTCATCGGAGAAATTCGAAAAAAGCAGAAGAACAGGCGAATCATTCTTCATCATGACAATGCGAGCTCTCACACATCGACTCAAACAAAAGCATTACTGACGGAGCGAAAGATCGAACTGATGGGTCATCCGCCGTACAGCCCTGATTTGGCACCCAATGACTTCTTCTTATTCCCACACATCAAAAATAAATTACGTGGACAACGATTTTCGACCCCCGAAGAAGCGGTTGATGCATTCAAAACGCATGTTTTGGAGTTACCTCAATCGGACTGGAAAAAGTGCTTGGTTCAAACGCATGCAAAAGTGTATTGATCATCATGGAGAATATTTTGAAAAACAATGAAACCAATTTCGATCCTACATATTTGTTTTTTCGTTATTAGACCAGAAATATAAATAGCAACCCTCGTATCTGTAAGAGGGGACCATACCCCCTATTAACCCATTTTTTAAAAATTTATTCTGCAACAGCTGTTTCATACCTTCCGATTCAATGAGTGTTAAGCACGATCATGAGCGTGTATTACAATTGTTGAATGGTTATTTGTTTTGTATTGTATCACTCTTTGTACGTATCAAATAACATTAAAATCGGTCCAGTAGTTCTAGAGAAAATAGATCGAGTCTGCAAATTCTCTTAATTTCTGACACCAGTGTACGTTATCTCAAAAAATTAAATGTAATCAACCGCGAAATATTGAGTTTTGAGGTATGCCTTAATCTCTTTCAAAAATCGCCGATACATTGATGAAAAAAGAAAACCAGTTTTACTGATAAGTTTCCTCTTAAGACAAAGACATCATGATAACTTTGAATACTTTGTTTTCGAAGACACACGGATGACAGGTAGGAAAGTAATTCGAATTCGTTTCCCAGACGCCAGACAATATATATTTTTATTCGAGGTAGTCAATCAAAATTAATAATAAAAAAAAGGGAATAAAATGCGCAATCTGATATAAATTTGCTATGATTCCATGATGTAAGTTATACGAATGATAAAAAGTATCTGCATTTAAATTTAATAGTTTAATAAATTGTCGATTAAACACCGAAGTGTAATTGTTGAGTTTTTAACGCGAACAAATTGTTGCATTTGAGAGCCTTGACGAAGCTAGAATGAAAAAAAAAATGAAAAAAAGGTTTACAGTAAAGCTAAAAAAGGAGATTTTCTGTAAAGTATTTTGTGTGTCTTCACTCAATCTTTAAGGAAACAAGTTTGGCATACAAATATTTTTACTAAGTTGAAAAAGGATATTGAAGGAAGGGCCTTTTGATGCCAACTAGTGAAATGAAAATACAGCGTTTGCCGTAAAGTTGCCTGCTATCTGAGAATATATTACTTAACTTTTAAATGACATTCTTTAAATATATGCAAGTATTATTTTTTGTCGAATATCGAGCATCAACAATTATTCTATTACACATGATGTTAAAGCTTGTAATATTGGAATGAATGTACAAAAATGTATTTATTTAATGTAATAACTGTAGGTTATGTAATTTGTAGGGCACTGGGCCCATGTCCAAGAGGTAGTAGGTTTGATCCCCGCCGGACGATCAAAAAATGCGCAGTACTCAGTAGCTGATTTATCATAAGGCCTGAGAGGAACAGTCCTAGGGCCTCCATATTTCTGGAGGGCCCTTAAATATTACAAATATATTTTATTTGTGTTTTCACTTAATTGTCCATTAGAAATATTTTTTAATGGGTTCGATCCAAGCCGGCCGAATGTAATGGTGAAGTAAATGGTGACTGATACATGTTAAATTTGTCGGGTCACAAATTCCTCTATGTTCCTATAACAAATCATACTTCTAGGGGTACTAACCCAGGAGTTTCCTTGTCTTCTAGGTCAAAATGACAAGACTACAGAGTTGAACATTGGTAGCCGTAAACTCAAAATTGGGTCAAACGACGGTCATAAAATAACATAAACTGTAATAGCTGGGGCCGTTATGGCTCAGCGGATAGAGCGCTTGCCGTCCAATGAGGTAAACCGGGTTCGATTCCCAGCGATGGCTGATTGATACGAATTGCGTATCCGGCTTGCACCGGTCACAGTGGTGACGTAAAATATCCTCAGTGGTAAACGGATTATGGGTTAGAGTCCCTTTGCCGTCAGCTTAACCATGAGAGGTTTTCGTAGTTTTCCTCTTCATGTAACGCAAATGCGGATTAGTTCCATCACAAAGTCATGCACGATGGCAAATGTCTCCCAATACTTGATCCAGGAGTTCCGTTGTCTTCTGTATAAGGTTCAAAATTACAAGGTTACGGAGTTGAACATCAGTAGACGTAAAAACAAAAAATTGGGTCGGCTGTTCAAAGACGGTTGTAAAGTAAAATGCAATAGCTGAAACCTGACTCTTAAAAGTAATTGTCCAGATTGATATCTACCCGGAACATAATTAAGTAATTGTTGAGTCATCTCTTGAAGCGAAATAAATGGAACATAAAATTTAAAAACAATTGTTCAGAGACATCGCAATGGCATAATTATTTAAAATAATTAATTGGAATGATGTTTTAAATTGATATACCAGGAACATAATTTTTAATAACATCTGTTGAAACTTTAGAAAAACTCTAGAAACGAAACAGATGGAACATGATTGGGGCGAGGAAAGGAAGCGAGAGAAACGCGAGCAAAATTCTGTTACGTTACGTTAAAATTCACGTTACGCGTTCTGTTTACGTTAGTAATTTGAAGCTTAGTGAGCTCAGGTATACCGTAAAGTACAAAACGTTAAAACATTTTTTACAAAATAAACAAAAATGAACTAAAGAATGTGTGCAGGATTCCTCAGGATTACACAGCATAGGAAAGGATTCCTGCTTTAATTTGTTCTCATTTCGGTATTTTGAAAATATCAGCTCTTGAAACTCCATGGTTTACATTGTGAGGATAGAGTTATCGACCATGCCAATCTTCAGTCAAAAGGTACCCCAAGATTAAATTTGTCAGTTAGCTGCCTAGTGATTTAATGTTTAATAATTGTAGTGGTAGTTACGCCACAATACTCCAGCACCAAAATATTATCAGGGATAGAATTCGATGAACGGATACGATTACCGTATTTGCGAAAAACAGAGAGAGCTGTATTAAGTTCACCAGATTTTGAGAGCTTGTTTTGAGATCTGCATAAAGTTCACCGAGTTTTGAGCGTTTGTCGTATCCTGAGAGCTGAATTTAAGTTCATGATTGTGTGTGGTCTCTCCTGTGTAGCTATTAGCATTCGAGTGCATACAGGATCCCGTTGTGTGTATTATGAGACTGAGAAGCAACAGCTCGAGGAAGACAGGAACGAAGTCACAGATAGCATGTCAACTTTTCACTGTGCACCACCCAGCAAAGTGGCCGTTACTTTAGATGTAAGCGAGTTCACATCACGTCCGTAGGCCACATATGTGGGGAAAGAGCATTCAACAATGTCAACCTTCATCCATAATAAAGTACACCAATATTCAATTGAGTTAGCCTGCGTTATATACTAGTGATTTGATGTTAATAATTGTAGTGGTAGTTACGCCACAACTTGAATTTCCTTTTTTTCTATACTTTAAATTTCAAATTACTAATGTAGAAAAAACAGCCGACCGGCCTGTGGAGGGGGCAGGGAACATCAGAAAGGTTCTGGATTCGAATCCCCGGCAAGGTATGGATGTTCTTTCCTTCTCTGTACTATCTGTCCTTACTGTGGGAGCGACGCTGGCCCACCTAATATGGTGCCCCTGTAAGAGAGGTCAACAAAATCGCCCTGCAGATGCCTGAATTGACGGATGTTAACACAGGAGGGCATTTTCCATGAAGGAATATTTCTGTGGTATAGCGTCATCTTAAAATTATTAAGCCTTAGAAACGAAACGTGTTGACATACGATTTTCTTAAAGTAATTGTTGAAACTTTATCTAGAAATGAAAAAAAAACGATTCTATAAACTATTTAATGTTGTTAAGACTCATTTCTAAAAAAAAAAAAAATGATAAGTATTTATATCAAGAAATAGTGAGTCTAAACGAGAATTAAATAAGTATAACCTAACGTATGACTTACAAAGAGAGATTTTGGAACGTAATAAAAACTTCTTGCAGAAAGGATCGAAGAAAGGAGGAGTAGAAAGGTGGTGATGAGACAACCATAAGCGATCATCATGAGGGCTGTGGATTCACCGAAAGAAATGAAGGCTGCAACTGTAAATTCATTTTCAGACAGTACTGCCTGTGCCTGGTAGCTCCCCATGTCTGCAACTAGACCTATCGTTATGGCACCGAGTACCTGAAATAAAAATTAAATTTTCATTTCCATCACCTGAAAAATTTACATGATAATGAAGAAAAAGAAATAACACTGATCATTTTCAGTTCTCTAAAGGTGTCTACACACAGAACGCAACAGCGATGCGAAACACGATTTTTCTCCTCTGTTGCAGTGTGTCTGTTGCAAGTGATTGCAAGTACCTTCACACCGCATGCGACAACAAACCTGTTTCCTGGCTAGCGCTTATGCGCATTTTTCTTCTGTATTTAGTTTTTGTTTCATAGCTCATTTTATCGTTGTTTTTTGTATTTATAAAATTATTTTATATCTATATGTATTATTTTTTATATTTGTATTACTTTATGATTTCAGTACAAGATTCTTCATAAATTGCCGAAATAAACTTTGCGTCACATTTTTACAAATATTGTATCAATAAGACCAAAATTATAAAAAAAATAAATAAATAATATTATGTATATAAAATTATTTATTTATTTTTCATAATTTTTGTCTTATAATTTTGTCTTCTAATTTTTAATACTTAACTAGTCTTTTTATGGGAAAAAAATGCATTTTTCCTGTATAATTTCTTCCTGCTATAACACGCATTTTTATTTTGTTAAATAAATTAAATTACTGGAATATTAAATAATTCAAATAAATAAAGTCAGGAAAAATGAAAAACAGAAATTATTTTACTATCAAAAGTCTTGTTAGGAAAAATATTTTTTTTCCAGAACATTATTGTGAACAATATTTTGAATATTATAAATATATCATGTTTGCAACCTGACATTTTATATAGAAGTGATAAAAAGAATTTTATTTCCATATGCAAATGCTTCAATATAGTTTTTTCTTACATTCGCAAGTTGATAGGAATTTATGAGATTAATATTTCACTTCACGGAATTTCTGAGCCACTTACACAACATTTTAAAATGGACACTTTTTATTATTTAGTGACAGAATTTATTATTTAGTACAATGATGTGTGGGTATTTTTCTTTTTCCATTTATGTTTTAATTTTGCATAAAATTAGATTTTCTAAAAATTGTAAAAAAAAAAAAAAGATTACATCACGTTTTAAAATGCTAGATTTCTTTCCTGCTGAATGGTACTGTAGCATTAAGCCAGGCATAGTCAGTCTGACAGAATCACTGGTAGCTTTTATAACACTCCAAATAAAAGTTCCTACAACTATCAACGATAAACACATGAAGCCTATAGCATAACAGCGAAATATAATAAAAATTTTATGAGTAATTTCCCTTCTGGAATCTGGTCCATTCACTTAATTGGCGAAAAATTCGAAATATGTTCCTTATCTTTCTTGATTTTTTGAACTCCCGAAAGTTTCTCAGAGCAATTAAATCAAATTATTATTTTTGTTTCTATGAAAATATTTAAGTAGGAATAAAAGGCGTTTTTTTTTTCATCATTTCTGTATACTATACCCAATTTTATCCGATAATGATGAACAATACCGAGTCTTAGTATACTTCCATAGAATAACCAATTTACACTAAAAAAAATACGACTTCTTTTTGTTCTTTAAAAATGCTTTATTTTTTAAGCTAAAGATCGATCTGATTTTATGCAAATAAAAATTTAAGCGATTCTGTTTATGAAGTTGATTATGAAAAGAAAATTTAAAGACCTGGTTTTGTGCCATTGTCGTATTTATAAAATTTTATATAAACAAAATTTCGTATGAAATTTTCCAAAACATTTTATTCAAAATTTCAGTTTTTGTAATAATTGCCCATTGATGGTCTCCTCATTAACCAAGAGTAGAATTGAATTGGAAATAATTTTTGTTACAATTAATGACAGTTTCAACTACTAATTAAAAAACGTTGCCTTTTTGTCTTTAGCGTTTGCTTAGCATTTCTTTATGAAACATAATTTTTCGAAAATCTTTTTTAATAAAACAAACGTTCTAAATTTTTAATCATAATTACTTTTTAATAGCGAATAAAAAATAAAATTTGTTCTTCTAAAAAAATATATAATTAAAAATAATTAAATAAAAATAATTAATTAAAAAATACTGTTTTCTAATCTTTTATCAACGCTAAATAGTCGCCACCTTTTCCTTATTTCGCTGAACATTTTATTTTCATTTTTTAATGATTCAAGAGTAACGCTTTAATTTTTTATTCATGGTTTAATAAAATCACTTTAAAGTTATCTGAACTAGTATAAAAAGTTCAATATTCAAACAGTTTGATATATTTAATTCAAAATACTTTTAAAGAATTAAATAAGGAAAAGTATCTATTCAATGCATTTTTCATAATTAACAAAGCGCACTAAAATAGCTTGAACCTAAGTGAGATTAGCAGATTAATCCCACTTTCGAATTTTGAAAATTTATCTTAGGAACATATGAAGTTAGAAACACTGTTTCTAAATCAAGACCATCAATATATGTTTTTAAATATTTTTAATAAATGTTTTTAAAAATTTATATTATTTTATATATATTTAATAAAAATTTCAAATAAGATTTATGTAAATAAGAACATTTAAAATACATTTGTGTTATAAAAATGTTTTCTAATGTATGTCAAAAAAATCTTTAAAATACATTCAAATATTTTATATAAACATAAGTCACTATGTTCTGAATGATGTTAACATTAAAATCATACGTTATTTCATCGTATTTTCCCTTTGAGATAAGAAATGTATATGAATCGGATTGAATCTCTGAGTCTGCAACAGCGACGAAAATTGAACCCCATCCAATTCTTGAAACCAGTGCGACGGCGATCGCTGGTTGTTGCAACAGAGGGAAGATGAAAGAAGTGCGCATGCGTAAAGTCATTGCAACATGCGATTTGTTGCTGTTGCAGCCGGTATTTAGAATCCTTAACAGTCAGACAACTCTCGCATTGGTGTTTCATACTGTTTACCGGGGTCCTCATTGAACCCTATGGTAACCCCATCCACTCTTTCCCCAAGGTACCCTTTAGCTGACCAATGGTCGTCGGATCTGGCCTTCAAGCTGCAATTGAGCGACCAAGGGCTTTCCATACGTGTTCGATGGGATTGAGGTCATTGGACTTTGCAGGCCACTCCAGTCATTGAATATCATCCGATTGTAGGTATTCGTCCACCCAGTATGGACGAGCGTTGTCTTCCATAAAGATAAAACTACACTACTGTGCAAATTAAATTTTTTCAGAAAATTGTTTTTTTTCCTCAGAGATTTCCAGCCCAAACTGGTTTGAACTGCATTTTCTTACAGCACGGGGTTGCTTTTGGCTGGTTTAAACCGGTTTGACAACGTGATCATCTTGTGTCGAAAATTTACTCCTTCATTCGCGCTTCAGTTGCTGTCAGGAGCGGTCGATTGTGTGAATTGTTTGTTTCTGATGTGTATTTTATTTTATTTTATAACCGTCGTTGAACAGCCGACCCAATTTCATGGGTTTACGACNTTCGAATTGTTACGCTTAGTCAGCATACATCTATGACTGTAAGGGATATTGCTGCAACAGTTGGAATTGGAAAATCGAGTGCTTCGAGGATTATTCATATGCAAAAGAATTTGGGTACAGTGTCTCCGAAACGAGAGAGTAAATGTGGACGAAAACGCAAGACGACACCTCGAACAGACCAATTTCTTTTACGAAATAGTAAAATGCATCCTCGCGAAACAAGTACAAACCTTCAGAGAGATTTATCAGCTACTGGTGTGAGCATCGATACATCGTCAGTCCGACGAAGGCTTAATGAAGCTGGGAGAATTGCAAGAAAACCAACAAAAAAAAACAGCTATTAACACCTGTAATGAGGAGAAAACGTTTGATTTGGGCCAGGAAATATAAATCCTGGACTGCACAAGACTGGAAAAAAGTTTCATTCAGCGACAAAACGCATTTTGTGGTGCAAGGGTTCGACCAAGATTTGTCAGACGAAGAGCTGGAGAACCCATAAGGTTACAACATATTATTCAGACAGTTAAGCATCCCCAAAAGCAGATGTTTTGGGGTTCTTTTACCTCTGCAGGACCTGGCAGCTTAGTACCGATTGAAGGAATGATGAACTCTCAAAAGTCCATTCCAATAATAGAAAAAAAAGTTGTGCCTTTGATGCAAACGTTCGCTGGGGGTGTTAGCGTCTTTCCACAAGATCTCGCTCCTTGCCACGATTCTAAGATGACAAAGAAATTTTTTCAAGAACAGAAATTAACGGTTTTGGATTGGCCAGGTAATTCTCCTGATCTCAATCCTATCAAAAATTTGTGGAGTACAGTGAAGAGACGTGTGAGTCAAATGAACTGCTTAACCAAGAAATCAATGATTGAGAATGTTATAAAAGTTTGGTTTCACGATGGCGAGATCAAAAATTTATGTTCGAATTTAGTAGAATCCATGCCAAACCGAGTACAGGATCTATATCAAACTAAAGGCGGACATATTTCATGCTAGATGGCTATACCATGCATGTAAGTTAACTTATAGTGATTAAACAACATTTGTGAAAAATTTTGAGCTTGACCCAAGTAATTTGCACAGTAGTGCAGGTCCATATACTTCATAGAAAAGTCTCACATAGGGTTCAAGGATTTCATTCCTATTCAGCTGACTTGTTAAAGTATCTCAATCGAACATATGATCGTCGGTATACCCAAACCATCAGACCAGCTTGGACCTCAGTGGTTGACCTTGACCAGATCAGTGGACATTTGTTCCTGTATCTGTGAACTGCTTCCATAGAGTGGACAACACATTTTTCGAAACCTCGTGGTTCCTGCAACAAGTATCATTTGATTGGCCCACCTCTAGTCTTCCTACTATCCGCCATCTTGTGGCATCATCTAGACCAGTGGTGCGCAAACTTTTTTCGACCGCGACCCCTTTTGTAGAGAGAAAATTTTTGGCGACCCCTAGAGATAAATGTTCACAAATACGATGTATATTTCGAGCATTTCTTTCGTTTCATCGAATAAAAACATCATCATATTTGACTCATATTAATTTTATTTATAATTTTAAGAAAATA